AGTGTGACAACAGTCCGTTGGGAGCGAAGCAGCTATATAGTTGCCGAAGAAGGAAGGTGTCGAAGTCATAGGGAAAAACAGGCGGTGTGATAAGGTAAGTGAAGATACTGAGTGTAGGGATGCAAATACAAGACAGGTAGTTTGAAAAATTTCAAAAATCAGTGAAAAAATAAAAAATATAGTGATAAATGTAAATTAAAGCAATTGGGGGTGACAACCCCTAGAAAGGGGTGAAAAAAAATTGTAAAAAAAATCAAAGCACAGTTTGGTAAAAGTTTGAAATTGATCGGTAATCAAACAACGGAGATATTAAAGATTTTTGTAAAGGGGTAGCAGCCCCCGATAGTAGAAGGAAGTATACGGATATAGTCAAGTGAGGTATCAAATTTAATGGGAACAAGTACTGGTATCGTGAAGAGATATAAAAACATAATTAGAGAAGAGTAGTGAGCTCGGGGGATGAGAGGGGTAGTAAAAAATAAAGTATAGGGGTTGAGATGTTTAAGTCGTTAAAAGTATGTCGTAGTAGAATGTCTTTATAATAGTGAAAATGTTAAATAGCTGGCGCAGGAGTAATAATAAGAGGGAAAAAAAATAAAGAAAAATTCACCCCCGGGGGATGAAATTGAGATAAGGGTATTTTTGAGCTCAAATGGGGGGTAATCAATATCGAAGGGGGGGGGGGGTGGGCGCTGGCCGCTGGAGTAGGGGGGAGGGTGAGGGTCTATGTCGAATCAAAAATTTGTTGGTGTCCGCGCACAGTTTGAATCAGTTTTGACAATTTTTTTTTAAATAATAACAAAAAAAAGTATGGGAATGAAGACAGCTAGTACAAGGGACCTATTTGTTCTTATGAAGTTTTTGTGTAGGGAGGGTAGTAACGAAGATATAGGGGGTGAAGTACCCCTAACATGAAAGATAAAATTTCATAACAGTATGTAGCGAAATGGATTACAGGGATTATAAAGAGACATAAATGCTAATAACAAAACGCTGTAGTATCACCAGGAAAACAGATATAAGGGTGAATTACCCCTAACCTAGATGGTATAATTTCATAAAAGTATGTAGTGACATGGAATGGAGTGGTAATATAGAGATGGAAATGCTAATAACAAATTCTTGTAATATCACCAGGGATAAAGATATAGGGGTATTATACCCCTAACATTAACTAAGCCATTTCTGTAAAATACTTATAGAAATCGAGGGTATCAGTAATTGGAAGACATAAACAATAATACAACAAAAGCATAAAGTCATTAGAGACAATGATGTGGGTGTAAATGACGCGTTAAAGAAAATTTTAAAATTTTTAAAATAAGTTTATGAACATGAAATTAATGTAATAATAATAAGAATGCATAGATGTTGTAAACTCTTTTATTGGGTTTGAGTTTATGGTCTTACGGCTAACGAATAGATAGTTAATGGTTCTAGTGTTTTTATTTTTTATTTATATGTTTCACAGAAAGCTTAAAGCCTACAACATTACAAATAAAATCTTAGAGATAATTCCTTAAAACTAAAATGCATAACGATCCATCCATGATTAAGGACTGGTATACCCTGAATCTGTGGATGGATCATCGAGATCCCATACGAGATTGCCAATCCGAACTGCTTCTGGAATGTCAACCTCGAGTGGTTCGTCAAGAGGAGCAAGGTTGTTATGGAGATCTTCAATCTCCAATTCACCTTCCAACTCACTCTCTGACGAAGGTGCCTCCTCCGCATCTTCAGCCTCAGTTTCCTCGTCCGACTCGATGTCGGCTACGTCTGCTAACAGAGCATTACCGACATCGGGTGCAACACCTCCCGCATTGAATAAAATCAATGTGGATTCTGTGCTGTCAAAACTGAGCGGACTAGCCCAGCCATCTTCATGGAAGACATACAGATCATCTTGATCGCGACCATCCATGACGATGACTGAGACGCGAAGGAATGGAAAGGAGACCAGAGTGAATAGATATAGATGCTCCCCTCCTCCGTTGCCAGATGGTGGAAAATCGAGGTCGCGAAAGTATAATTATGGGATGTTGTGAAATGTAAAATCGAGCATAAACGATTATGGGGTGATAAATTTTGACTGTTAATTAAAAGGCAGATGGTAGATATCGCGAAGGTAGAAAGTCGTGAAAGGTGGGTAGGAGGGACATGTATTTATATCAGTGTCGATGGTGCACACCGTCACTGCAGTCTAAACGCTCCATATTGGACGCATCAGTAAAATAGTATATTATAAAATTGTTTTCTGTGTTAGGTTGCCAAAATGTGCTCAAGAGAGTGTCTGTGTGCGCCTGGAAAGCAGTGCAAGTACTGCACATTCTCCGATAGTCAGCGCCCAATTCTAGAAAAACTGTTGAAGCCTCAAGTTGTACGTATACTACAAAATGTTCAGGTTGTGCCACCACTTGAAACCGTTCGCGCTTCGATGCCTAGTACTTCAGCGAATGATGTATCCGTGGAAATTGTTAGCATGGGCTCGCAAACCATGCTTAACAATTTTATCGCCGACGGACAAAATGTGTCGAACGATGATGGCGACATCAACATTGAGGCATTGTTAGCATCCCTCAATCCGGACCTGGACAGTGCAACAATGATGGATGCGTACAATGCTTGGCCATCATTGGAACTGAGTTTGTTGGGAGCGGAGTCGAGGCCGTCCACGTCCAGAGCCACTTCGACACCCCAAGAGTCGTTGATGTCTGCCGCGGTCGCGAGTGAACGGTATGGTGCGGACGAGGAACTATATCGCCACACGTGGATCGAAGATTTGCCGTTCACGCAACTTGAACGGGCCGCGTGTGCGCGCGACGTCGAGTTGAGAGAACCGTTGGCACAACTTCAACAGATCGCGATGGACCTAAATCAGGATACGTGGATCGAAGAATTGCCGCTCACGCAACTCGAACGGGCTGCGAATGAGGAGGGGGCTAGACAGTGAAGGGACAGTTAACTTAAGAGGGATGAACTGGTTTCGCAATGGGCATCAACTACAGAATGTGCATATTGAGGCGCTGGATCTGCTGATGTTAAGGTACTACATACCGGTAGACATGTAGAGGTGTGACAAAAAAAAACATGCAAATGGGTTCAAAACAACGTACAGCAGCTAAAATATTTTTTTGTTTCAGATGCGACATAGGCAGATCCAGAAGATGGTGTGGTGGCTGCCGCCTCCCCGTGGCCACACTGGATAACGCTAAGCGCAGCCGAATATATATATATATATATATATATATATATATATATATAATGATTTTGTTGCAGGAACAGAGTAAATACGTACACGCTTCACGATGTTCCAATGTCTAAAGTGCGAAAGGACCTTCACGGCGAGAAAAAATTTGTTGAAGCACGGTAGAGAGCGGTGCAGCCAAGATGGTGAGCCAGCATCGAAGCGCATCTGTCTTCGAGATGGAACAGGTATTGAACAATTAGAAAATAAAATCGAATAAAATCACTAACAGAATTATGTTTCAGCATCCTTTAACCAGGAAGGTGGTACCTCCAGCATTCCCCAATCCCCAAGTCTCGAGGACAGTAATGCATCCTCTTCGCGCCGCACTGCAGACAAGTTGCAATCTTTTCGATGTCAGCACACCTTCTCAGCACGCCATAATTTACTGCGACATCTTAGAGAGGTCTGCATAAGCGAGAAAAAACCTTCCAAGCAACAACGTATGGAGGGTGAGATTACTAACAATGAGCCAACTATTGCAGATTTCATCACCCAGACAGCCGCAGGTGTCAACATTAGACGAGTGAACCCTGCAACACCCCCCGTCGCAGTGCCTGGAACCAGTCGAATGAGTCCTACACCATCCGACGTCGTAGTGCCGGGCGCAAGTCGAGAGAGTTCAACCACCGGCAACGATTCACAAGCGAGTGCGGGTAGCAGGACAATTCGCTGTGAGAGTTGCAGCTGTGAGGTATCGAGGAATGCACATGCGGCACATCTGAAAAGCATTAAACATAAGGCACATCTATGGAGACCTTTACAAAATAATGTGTCAGTATGTCGAAGTGCATTCCGAGGTAGAATAGTTAGTTATCAAATAACCGCTAGCATAGAGACTTTGAACGTTACTGAATATATGAATAATGTGGCACAGGACTCCATAAACGTAACTGAAAATGAGTTGCATAAGCATACAACACTCAAAATAAATATGGAACTTTTTGGTTTATATATTTTCCCAGCTAAAAACCGACGAGAGGTAAAGTCCCACAATACGAACAATGTAATAATTACACAATCCTCAAATTTGAATCAAATCTATTATGATCTAGGTAGTAAAATCGAACAAAAATCGAAAGACTTTGCAGAAAAAGACTCAGGGTGGGTGTTGGAAAACATTTTATATTTAGAAATTAATATTAATAAATATAATCCGTTGAGGGCAGCAGCATATTTGCCGCTTCCTAAGGAAATCACGAACAAAAAAGCTGTACTCAACATACGTAACACGAATGAGTACTACTTTGCATGGTCGATTGTAGCTGGTATGATAAAACCAAAGGGTCGAGCGTCACTAACAACGTCATATCCACATTTTTCGAACATTCCTGGTTTAAACTTTGCAGGAATGGACTTTCCAGTTGCTCTCAAGTCAATATCAGAATTTGAAAGATTGAATAATATGTCAATTAACGTTTATGGAATAGAAAAGGAATTCATTGATGGAAAGTCTAAATATCAGGTGGTAGGACCGTTACATTACACGGCGCAAAAACAACCCACTCATCTGAACTAATTACTTATTGATGATTCAGAAGGTAACCATCATTACTGCTTAATTACCAACTTTTCAAGACTCGTTTCAAGTCAGTTGTCATTTAATACGAGAGTAAAGCATTTTTGTGATGGCTATTTACAATACTTTGCATCAAAAGACAAACTGGAAATTCACATCCAAAACTATTGCAAACACATTTCAGTTAAGCTGCCCCAACTGGAAACCAGAGTTGATCGCCTTGGAAACACGGTAATGGATAATGTGCTGAAATTTGAACAGCATCACAAACAATTAAGACTACCGTTTTGGGTTTATGCGGACTTTGAATGCATCCTAGCTCCGATAGACAATCACTCAAGTGCTTCAGAGGATGTATGTACCATCAAAAAGTATGAACATAGACCCTCCTCAGTTGCTTATTATATTAAATGTTCTTATAATGATTCACTATCCAAGCTCGAACTGTATAGGGGTGAGGATGCTGCACAAATTTTTGTTACGCGTTTAGAGGCTGATCTTAAATTAATATATGATCAATATTTAAAACAAAATGTAGCGATGAAAATGACGGCGCACGATAAAAATGTGTTTGATAAAGCAGAGGTATGTTTCATTTGTGAACATCCATTTACCAATACAAATAGAAAAGTTAGGGATCACTGTCATTTCACCGGGCAATATCGTGGCGCAGCACATAGCAAATGCAATCTAAACTATAAGATCCCAAAATACATTCCAATATTTTTCCACAACCTCAAAAACTATGATGCACATCTATTCATAAAACACCTCGCTATGAAGCAAGAACAAATTAAAGTGATTCCACAATCTTTTGAAAAATATGTTTCATTTACGAAATTGATACCTGTAGACATGTACATTTCCCACGAGGGAAAATCACAAACTGTATTTTTGCAGATGCGATTTGTCGATTCATATCAGTTTCTATCGTCAAAATTAGAAACCTTGGCATCCTTTTTAAGCGCAGAACAATGTCGGACGGTACGAAAAGTCTTTCCTGAGGACGAAAAGTTCTCCTACATGAGATGCAAAGGTATATTTCCATATACATACCTTAATAGGTTTGATAAATACGATGAAACATGTTTACCATCCCAACAAGACTTTTATGATGAAATACGTGATGAACACATTTCTGACGAGGATTATGAGCGAGCACGTCATGTCTGGGAAGTAATGGGGTGTCAAAATTTGGGGGAATACTCTGATTTTTACTTGACTTCGGATGTTCTTCTTTTAACAGATATCTTTGAAAATTTCAGAGATTTGTGCTTAAAAACGTACAAGCTTGATCCAGCTCACTATTTTACAGCCCCCGCTTTGAGTTGGGATGCGATGCTACGATACAGCAAAGTAGAGTTACAGCTGCTTACAGATGTTGATATGATTCATTTTTTTAAAAAGGGAATTCGGGGGGGAGTCAGTACATGTACCTCACGTAAAGTTGAGGCGAACAATAAATTTCTACCACATTACGATCCGTCAAAGGCATCATCGTATTTAGTTTACCTTGATGCAACAAATTTGTACGGTTATACGATGCAACAGTACCTACCAACTGGTAATTTTGCATGGTTAACACGAGATGAGATTGTAACGCTTCCTTTCCGCAAAAAGTCCAGAAAAGATGGAATGCAATGAAGATTCCAACTTTTCTGCACAATCACAGAAAGGGCGTTAGCATTAGCTTCCGGTAGCTCAGTCGGTGGCATGAAGACATCTACAGGCGTGTAGCTGTGTGTCGACCATGGCATGGCTAGAGGATAGAAGAACAAACAGAACACAAAAATTTAACAGATTTTATTTAACAGAAAAAAAGGCATTTTCATTACATTACAATTTTACAAAAATAACAAAATAAGTTTTACATCTTTGTCGCTGCTATAACGCTATCGACTTATCTTTCGCTGGTCCATTTTTACTCGACTGAAGCCAGGATGGCCAGGTGCTTGAAAGGGAGGTCCCAGTTATGAGGGGTGACCTCCATATAGTGGCTTCACAACCAGTTGTAGGCGAAGTTAAAGGCGATGGCGCTGCCAAGGTACATGCATGGGTGAAAATATTGGCCAAGGCTAGGCAAAGTGAAAGGGAAAGAGAAAGGGGGTGGCCCCAATCTGAAAAAGAACCGTGTGCATTAGCAACGTGCCCTAATGGCCAAGGCATTTCCAATCTCAGTCTGCCTCAAAAGAGAACCAACGATTTTCTAGATTAGAATTACATTATATAGTTTGATAAAATCAAACCGAAAATTGGAAATGCCTTTCATAAAATAAAATCATGAAATAGCAAAAAAAAAGCGTAAAACAAGATGGTGGTCATCAAAAATTTCTCCACATGCTTCTGATATAAAAACATAATCATCGAATATTCATAATGAACGTACTTATAATTTCACTGAACTATGAATATATATACGCGCACAGAGGTAAAATCGATGTGGATCGATTTCCACCTCGATTTGATTAAAGTTATGGCGAATGATCGAAGTAGTCGAAAATGATGTTCGATGGATATTTTAAAATCGTACAAGAAATAAATCACTTACATATCGATTATCTATAAACTACAGGCAGATCCAGCAATAAAACTGTATAGTATTATAAAACTCACCATTTTTGTCCTATACGGACACACATTCTGGAAAATTCTAGCACATGGTGCTATATAACCTTGTGCTACTGAGAAGAAATTTCTAGCCGTTGTTCGATCGGCGGCTCAAGTGAAAAGGAAGCGCGAGGAAGATCGCAGATCAGGAACTCCGCATCAAGCGCTCCAAGCGGAAAATTTTCCAAGCAAAAAAGCTAGAGATGGGATTAATGAAATGATAATCGAGAAGTGATTTAATAAATACGATCGGACGGTGAAACAATTACACAGATTTCGGATACATCGGATATTGGGTATGCATTAGAAGTCGATTTAACCATACCGACTGAGCTACATGATTATTTCAACGATTTACCATTTTGTCCAGAAAATTTTAAACCACCCGACAGTCAAAGCTAAAAGTTAATTCCAAATTTGCACAATAAAGAACGCTACATTATCCATTATCGTAATCTAAAGCAATGTTTGAAACATGGTATTATTTTAACAAAAATTCATAGAGGCATTAAATTCACACAATCTGCCTGGTTGAAGTCCTACATACAGTTAAACACCACACTTAGAAATGCAGCACTGAATCCTTTTGAAAGAGATTTGTTCAAACTAATGATCAATTGTATTTTTGGAAAAACCATTGAAAACATGGAGAACAGAGTCGACATCAAATTAGCTACTCAATTTGAAAAATCTAAACATAAAATAGGTGCTGCAAATTATATTAGTAAACCAACTTTTAAAGAGCACAGAATATTTTCTGAAAACTTAGTAGCCATTCAAATGGAAAAAACAATGATTGATTACTGTCGTCCCACATATGTTGGCTTTTGTATTTTAGATGTCTCAAAAACGGTAATATATGACTTTTTCTATGACTTTCTGAAGCGTCAATATGGTGATAAGGTGTCTGTAGCTTACACGGACACTGATTCGCTAATAGTACATGTTGAAACCGATAATTTCTATGAGGACATGAAATCACACAGACATTACTTTGACACATTCAATTATGATGCTTCCAACCCACATAATATGCCTCAAACAGCGTCAGAGTTGGGTAAGATGAAAGACGAATATGCTTTTAAGATACTGTCTGCATTTTATGGTACGGGTCCCAAAGCATACTGTATAGATGCGGTAGACCAAGTAGCTAAACGAGCCACAGGTATATCTAAGGCGAGTGTAAAAAATCAGTTACATTTGCTACATTATAAGGATATTGTTGAGGAGAAACGGACATCTGTATACTGTACGATTTATGTATTTAAATCGGAGTCGCACAATATCTACACAAATTATATAAAAAAAGTAGCATTGACCAGTACGGATGATAAACGTTTCTTGATACCAAACTCAACAAAGACATTAGCTTGGGGTCATCAAGATATATTATTTCATAACATGTCACATGAGGAGCGCTTGGATACATTACTGCACTTGATGCAAGAAGCCATTGTGTTGAATAATAAGCATCAGATAGCATGATCATAGAATAGGGGTTTGTGGTGGGGACAAGAATATAAATATATTCTTAACAAACGCACCTCATTCAGTTTCAAAGATGAGTACTACGACATACTATTCACTGTACATGCAATTGTGTCATGTAACTGAAGAGGTGTTGAAAAAACAGCTTCGACAATTTGTGACTCGAAATCCAGAAAAACAAGAATTTCCAGTGCTGGACTTTGTGCTAGAGGAAATTACAATACCTGACGAAGTATTCAATTGGATTACCAATGGCCCACAGTTGCCATCCCCACGTGCTTTCCAGTGTAATAACAAAAAAGAAACATCTAGATTGGGTGGTACAGGAAACACTGCAAAGTTTAAAAGAGAGAGTTTATGAGGTTTTAAGCATCAAAGAATTTGGAGACCTACTGGATAATATGCCCTACACACAATCAGCATATGAACAATATTATTTATGTAAGTTGTTATCTGATAGTAACTATGAAGATGTAGATAAAACGCATCCTGTAGAAAATATTACGAAGAGGTATAAAGACATTGTATCACATATCGATGAAAGCATCTGTAAAATCGCATATCTAGCTGATTGTGTATCACTAGAACGTTTAATCGATATTATACAGCAGCATGATATTGAATTTGTATTTGATGTAGAAAATAAGATGAGACATTATACTGTATTGAAATGGATAAAGAAAAATATAGCCAAGGGTAACATTGGAGATGAAACCCTCGGATGGACCTCTGGACCCTGTAGTGTGAAATGGCCATCCACCAAATTCGAATATTATGTAGCATGTTTAAAGATCTTGTGTGATTTATCCAAAACGTAAATACTCTGTGTGTGACAAAATTCATTAATATATATATATCTATGTCAGCATGAACGGTAGTATCATTTTCCCTTGCACTTGCGTCAACTTTTGGGAGGGGGAAGTTGGTGAATGGAGGGGTGATCAACACTGTATAAAGTTAGCCACGAAGCTGGATTGCACATAACGTTACAACATGAGTGCCGGTGTGCAAAACGACAAGGTACAAAGTGGGGTAGATCAGACACCGTTAATTGTCATCCAGGAGCAACGATATCATCTAAATCCATCGAAATCAAAATGGATAAGCATTGGTCGAGCATATCAGTGGAGCTTCCACCCTGTAATCAATATCAGCGGTTTGAAAAACAATGGCGTTACGATAAATGAAGAAGACTGGTATGAGATATTAAATCAAGAAGGCGTTATAACCAATTTTTTCTTCAGTGATGATATTTTCCATTCGATTAGTGCCAACTCCGTCTGTATCACCTTTGAGAGATTTCCAGATTTTCAAACAATCAAAATTGAAGATCGATGGAGAAACGTCGTTTATTTGGGTAAGGAGACCGTATTGAAGCTATTTCAATTAGCCCCGCTGATTGCCTACACCATTAATATGCTGAAAACTCAGGAGTTTAATAAGTATTTCAACACACTTGTCCAAGATGTGCGAACCACCAACATGGATGTGCGAGACTTCGTGATCCAACACATCTCTGATTTGCCGCATTCGGAGAACATCAGGACTGCTATGGAACTGGCATACCAACATCCAAACTTGAAGGAATTCAACAAGGCTCCAACGCTGAAATTTTATTCAGACTATCCTAACTATTTTATTGAAAAAGCTGTGTTATAAAACCGATTGGTTTAAATAATATACATGTCATGCAAGTAAATCACTTTTTCTAATCCACGAATTATGTCTGTTATCCAGTCCTAAGTACTTGACTAACACTTTATTTTTTTTACGTCGCACCACTTTCTCTACAAGATAGATATTTGGATACTTGACTTTTTGAAGCTCCTCAGCGTAAAATCCACCTAGAATCTCGTCACCGCTCGAATCAGCCAGTAAGTATGATGTGGGATTGGTATACTGTATTTTACGGATTGTGAAAATTTCATTGGACCAGTTAGGAGTGTATCCTTTAGCAAATGCTGTCCTATGTTTGCTTATGCGGACATGATCTCCACGTTGATATTTTACACCCTTTGGATCTAACGTTTTCAAATGTGTGTATGCCGTTCTCAACAGTGTTTTTGCTGTACTTTTGTTCACGTCTTTGGGTTTCATCCCAATTGTGCTGTGTTTGGTGTTATTATATGCATCAACGATCGATGATAGGAGATCTAACCATTTATACGATCCCTGAAAGCTGAACTGCTTCCACATACGATTCTTCAAAGTGCGATTCACCCTTTCAACTACACTTGCTTTGGTAGCTGAGTAGGAGCTGTAATGATTAATTTTGTACGCTTCCATTAACTTCTTAAAGTCACTATTGTAGAATTCTTTACCCAGGTCTGTTTGTAAATTTTTCGGAATTGTCTGCATTTGCGATAAAATTGTACTCATTGCAGCTGTCACATCTTTTCCAGTTTTTCGTTTGACTGGTTCTGCCCACACAAATTTACTAAAAACGTTGATGACAATTAAAATGTAACGGAATCCTTTGTTAACTTTCTGATACGGAAGCATTTCCACCAAATCTGCCTGTAGGAGATCGTTGATACCCTTCACAATAACGCGTCGACGTCTATAATTTCTGCGAGCCGGTTTATGAAGTTCGTCAATGACCTGCTTTTTAAAGTCCATCATTCTTGTATGATTGAACAGCGCATCACGATATTACCTATAAGGTCAGGTTTTGGTTCATGAGATGAATAGAAGTTCAGAATATCCCCTTTCGACAGGTGTGTGTCGACTTTGACATCACTTTGACCACATTTCACTCTTATTTTGGGAGGTATATTTATACTATCAACTATCCCGGTCACAGGAACGATATAGTCCCTACTATTTTCACCAAATGTGTAAAATAATGCGCTGAATGTGTTGGAATAAATGGGTACCACACATACGCTGAATAGTTTAGATGCTAGAAAAGCACTGAAGATTGAAGATATGTCCCTCTTTTTTGAATGGAGCATATGTCTTCCAAATTTATCAATTGGCATCTTGATCGTACAACTGCAGCAACGAAAATAGAGTAATATTACGTTACAACTTCATTTTATAATTTTTAATTCGCGCAACTCCTCAATTATAGACATGATTTCATTATTATGCCCGTTATTACCAGCATACGCATTGGGATCATCAAAATACACATACTCAATTGGTTTCGGGGAATACTCTAATATACCACCCCTTACATGTTTGAATGATTGTGATCTGGGTCGAGCTTTAGGAGGTGCCGGTTTCTGAAAAGACCCCGTTTTGCTTGCACCCTCAGCGGATACTTCTATTAGATTGTGTTTTACTAAATATGGTCGAATTATTGTTTTATACTTGAAAGTGTTTACTCCTTGAATTTGTAAATTAGAATCAAAATTACGTCGATATGCATTGGTCCGTTTTAGCATATCCATGTAGTGCTCCAGATCGGTCTGTTTATATCCATGAGGGTCTTTCTTTAACAACAACTCGTACAGACCTGGCGTTCCTGGATATCTGATATTGTCTAAGATTAGATCCGACTCCTCGAGGGTTATTGGGGTATTCCCCAATTTTAATTTTTCGCCGATCCAATCGTGTGTTATACCGTGATATCGATCAAAATTCTCTTCATCCCCCCGTATAGACTCATCGATATATTGACGAGGTAATGGATGGAACTGTTCTAAATAACTTTAATAACCAGGTGTTTTGCTTAGGCGCCGAAACTCTTCCCGTGTGTGAGCAATCATTTGCTCGTCAACATCACGTTCTCGTTCTAGTACTGTAGCATCGGGACGTGATTCTTCTATCCCGGAAACGTCTTGTAAAATGGAGTGCTCGGGAAGGTTAGAGAATGTGTCTTCAAGGAAACTTGTAGTAGTGGGGAGGTATATATTGTATATATTTGTCGGTGTTAATTTCTGTGAAAGTGGTGATTTCTGAGGTGTTGATGTTTTAGATTCTAATTTCCAGTTCTCTGGTTTTACTTTGACTGGCTCTACTTTTACAAGTAACTGCTGCAGCGGTTCCGATATAGGTTTCCACTGCTTTTGCAATTGGGTTTCCGATTGGGCAATATCCGACTTTAATGCTCGATACTTTTCTTTGACTGCTTGTCTAGCTTTCACCAATTCCTTTGCAATTTTTGGATCCATATCACGTATTATGGAGAGGCTGGCGTAACACTGGTACTGCTAATCTTACACGCTCTTTATATACCACACTATAGGTATATATACTTGTCGAAACCTTTCCGATACCTCCCATTATTTTTGGGTGAATCTTTATCAACCACAACAAAACCGTATGGTTCCTGCCAGCACAGTGAGCAAATATCTTTAAACTGTTGAAACGACATATCCAAGCTAATGTGATCATCGTAAATATGCTTCAAATTTAATGCATCCTGTGCTAAAAGTATGAGAAGATTTGCATTATCTCTTAATAACTGCTTGGGAATTGCTGTGTATGTTTGACACAGGTAGAAGCAATCTGTATTTTTGTGTCGCCCAAAACTAAAGTACTGACGCATTATATCCTGATTACATGATGCAACATCATCAAAAATCATAATCGCATTTGATTCGATTTCCGCTGGAGGTTTAATATCATCACCGTTCGTGTACTCGTAATATCCTATCTCTTTTAGAGGTTCTAAAACTGAGCGAAGAAATTGATACTTTGTTTGGTAGGGTGATTTACAAAACAAATAGACATTTTCATATCGTAATCCGTGAGGGTGTATTAATAGGGTGATCATGATATAAGTCTTTCCAGCACCACTATTACCAACAATTAGAGCCCGTTTAGAAGCACCATTGAACACACTTCCATGTTTTCGGAACGTTTTTTCTTGCACTATTCCATCGTAATTATCTACCTGAAGCTTTGGTATCGTCTGCTCAATTCTCATGATGTTGTGTGATTACTAGTAGCCATCCAAATGGACTCCTATATATAGTACCTCCCGCTCTATTCGTAATAAGAGTATATAATGATTGTGCACTCCACCATGACACGTACTTTCCAGCAGACACCGATCGTGCGAGGTCGCGGCCTCATTTCCAACGTAATAGAAAATCTCCCTTTCGAAGCCCACATCCCAGGTTACAATTTCTGTGGCCCGTCAACCAAACTGCAAAAACGTCTTCAACGAGGAGATGTTGGTATAAATCCACTTGACGAATTTTGCAAACAACACGACATTTTCTATTCTCAGCAGAAAGATCTCACTGCGCGTCAACAAGCGGACAAACTTTTGGCTGATCAAGCTATACAGCGAGCCTTCGCATCCGACAGCTCTTTTGGAGAACGGATGGCAGCTTTGGGAGTTGCTGGAGCAATGAAAGCTAAAAAAAAGATGGGTTTTGGCCTGCGAAAACATCGTACACAACAAAGAAAGAAACGTTTGAACAAGATGGGAAAGGGTTTGCGAAAAAAATCACCAAAATCGCAAAGTTCCAAGCGACGTTTGCGGATTCTGCCTCTACCGAAAACAGGTGGCTTTCTACCGTTACTTCTACCTATACTCGGGGCTCTTGGAGCTCTTGGAGGTGGTGCTGCCTCCATTGCAAAAGCTGTCAATGATGCTAAAGCCAATCAGTCACAACTTGCGGAACAGAAGCGTCATAACTTGGCTTTAGAAGCCTCTCGCAAGGTTTCTCCCACGGGAAAGGGGTTTTTTTTAGCACCGTACAAAAAAAACTGCTAAGGCACCTACCATCCCATGCGATTTCCGATATTGAACTACTTTACTTTGCAAAACAACTTAACATTCCTTTTTTTCGAGGAGTATTCATGAAAGATCAATTACCAAAGGGTATACAGACTTGTGAAAGTGGAATTGTTAATTTGG